TTTGCATGCTTCATTAAAGTCCACTCGTGGGTGTATCGATATTGTAAGCTCAGTTCACAGCTGTCAGAGGAAACAATTGCGCACGGGGGTGAGGTGAGCCCACTTTACGGCACACGCTCGGACTAACTGGAAAAGCACAGGTGTTAGTGTGGATAAAGGTGGCTCTGCTCTATTCAAGTTTCTAACTAATCCGTGACCCTGAGCTTGTATGCACAATAACAGGACCCTGAAACCAAAGCATCTAAATGGATTTCCCCTGTATTCATTTTATTATTTATACATTTACAAGTGTAACCTTTTAACCAGGGCCTTCTCTGCTGTGGGATACAAAGATGGCTCCAGTCTGTGAAAAAAAACAAAACCCACTGTTTCTCCTAATCCACATCATATTCTAATCCAATTGCACTACTAAACATGCCAATTTGATGTTGGGAGTTTTATGCGTTTCTGCCCCTGCCATTTTGTGTCTTCTCTTCATATGTGGTTTGCATACAAGCCTTTTTTTGTTTTAAAAACAAAAACAACAATGTGTGGGTGGGTGGGGGCCTGGAGGTTCATCAGAGATAGATTTTTAGAAAGGATGGTCAAAAAAAGCGATCCAACATATGCAGCTTAACTGGTAAAAACGCAGAGTATCAAAGCCAAGCTAAGAAAATAGTGATGACTGTAACAGCAAGGTTCCCTTTTTTTCAGACCTTGAAAAGCTACAGAAAAAGAGGCATTACACAGGCAGAGAAGCTCTCCCAGGATGGGCAAGCTGAGCTTTAATGGTAAAATTTATGTGGTGACACTTTAAAACATAAGTAAAAGTTGGAGCTACTACTACAAAAAAAAAATAACAATAGGGGGTATTTTATGTCTTGCTTTCATGTCCCCAAATGTTTTAAGCTCTCCACCCGCATCCACTCTCACTCAGGTTAACCACCTCTCCAGCATGCTGTTTGATGGATCCATTTTCCTCGAGCGATACTCTGAAAGCCTATAGAAAATATTTGAGTAAACACCACGGCAGCTGGTGTTCTGAAGTGGCTCTTACAGGAGAGATTTGCAGTTCTTTCTGGGGAATATTAATCAGCCCTTAAGCTGGACGTCTTTAAAATGCATTACCATGACGTGTTGTGCTAATGATGCTCTCTCAAAAAGCCAGAGCTGTACATTTCAATTAGGCCGGAAAAACTGAATGGAACTGAGCTCAGCTGTTCTGGCTAATGAACAATGTTTAGATATGATTGGGTGAACTAATGAGTGTGAATGAGACCCAGCTTTTAGAAAAACGAATAACAACATCAGTGCAGCCAGCGTCAGTGATGGCCTCCTGGCAAAGACCTGCTTCATTATTAAGCATTTGTTTGTTTGGCAGGAAGTTTGCGTTTGGGCAGATTAGCTGTGGGCTCACATATGGAGGAGCTAATCAGTGGTTTTAAGAGTAATTGTTTCAAATTGCATGTGTATCAGCAGACATTTTGGCTGCTCCAAGTCGAAGTAGATAAAGCGATACCAACATGACCTCTGTGCGAGCAGAGGTTATAACTCCATATGGTGTTTACATTCAGAAATATGTTCGCCAGTGATTTACCCTTGGTGTTTCACCCACATGTCTCTGTGGTATTTTACAGTCCAGGCTGGAGTGTAATATATTTAACTGTGATAGGCCAAGATCAGGGTTAAACACGGGGTTGTATTAGTAAACACTCCTAATTGAATTGTGCTTCATTACATCTTGTACATAATTTGTGGAATCTGAAACCATAAAGATAAATAATAAATAAATAAAGACTCATCTTTGCAGCAAATACATTGCAACAGTTAAAACCTCATATAAAATAAGGGTAAAAACCTTAAAAAAAAAAAGAGAGATGGAGGAGTTACATTTGTTGGCTGTTGGAATGGCAGAGACTTCAGCAGCCACAATTTCTGACCTTTGGACATAGTCATTGTTTCCAGGTTTTATGATAAGCTTCAAAAACAGATGTTTAGATCTTTTACTGTTACGTACACCCCCACATTTCAGTAAATTCTTCCTCTGGTAATTAATTATCTGTTTTGGTTGTCCTAATTGTCCTGATTAGGTGCTGAGGCTCACGTACATGTTGGAACAAGTTGTTTCTCCTCCACCATTTATCAGCAAACTTAATTCTAGAATTTTTTCTTTCACTTTTTTATGATCAACTATTAACTTATAGCCCTCAGTTTTCAAGTTTGTCACTTGTTAATTAGTTTTGGGGCTTTAATCCAGCAGCCCACTGGATGCTTGGTTGATGGTGTTTTTTTTTTGTCTTGTTTTTTGCTTTATTTTATGTTGTGTTTGTTGCTTTTTGAGTCATTATTTTGTGTTGTTAAACTTAGTTTCCGTGAGCTTTTAATTTAGGGGATGTAACACATTTGGGGGCTCATCCGGGATCCAGACCTAACACAGCCCAAGCAAGAATAATAACTCCTATCATGTTTTGACTAGAAAGCGACAACAGTTAGGCTCATACATTTCTGGGCAATCACACATTTCTTTTGCATCTTTGCTTCTGTACATCAAAACAGTGAATTTTACATCAATCAATATGCAATTTTCAGCTTCAATTCGAGGGGTTTAACAAAAGTATTGCATCCAAAGTCATTGGACACTTGATTGCCAATCAGTTTAATGGTCAGACGAGATCTGTTCTCCCATTGTTTCATGATAGCTTGATAAAAGATCTGAAATTGCTTCCAAATACTGAAATTGCTCTTATTCGAGGAGGTTAATAGTAATGTCCAAGCAAGTTAGAGATCA